ACGCATTATGAAAAAGCTAAAAACTGCAAATAAGCTGTCACATTTCTTTCTTGAAAGATGCCTGTTCAAACTAAATTTAGTTTCTTTATTTCTGAATGATGAAAGAACCTTTAAGGGCCGAAATATCACGAATTTTGATCTATAAGTTGTAAGAGAGCACTCTGGTGAGATCCTCTTTCCTTTTTTCGAGTTACACATTTTCCAATTTTACAGGAAGTAGTATTAGTTGCATCCAGTATCACAATTTATATGTATTCAATGTGTTTCCTCATCGAAATGAGCGAAGAAAAAACATTTACTTTTATTTTCACCGAATTAATGAGAGTTTTACTGCCAACTAAGCTAGCAAATGTTTACGGTGAAGCTACTTTATTTGTTTCACAACTCCCAATTTTAGGAATTCTAAGGCGAAGTTGATAGCGTATACATCATTTCTCATTTAATGCAAGGTTGAAATACTTTATGATGGTGGTGGAAGAGACAATTCTGGTAAAATTGAGAGAATAATCAGGAAGAAAAGTTCTTAAACAAATCTCAGGAACTCCATCAGATGATGGGCACTTCACCCTCCAAGGATTTTTACACTATGGAGTTAAGGACTAATACTGACAAGCATAATATGATGGATCTGAGCGGTCTCTTACTTACCTAACTTTGATGAGCGAAGGCCTTAAATACGTAGAAGAATTGCATTAACTGCTGCCAAGGATTCACAAACTCTGACCTGACCAACATTTCTTTTAGGTACTTGAGATACAGTCAGATGTTTAGAATTCTGGACATTCAGTTATTTTCCACACACAAAAGAATTCGTACAGCTTGCGAGCTTATCCAAACGTTTCATTTACACACCTCCTTAACAACAAATATCGACGCTTCGCGGCCATAACACTCCGCTTTCAACGCACTACATCAGGCTTACAGAGAGAGGATGTTAGAGACATCAAGCATTTGATCCACGATTAATACTTATCATAGTGAGCAGCTTATGACATAGACAGTAAATTTTTTTTCGTCAAATTTCAATACAGTGTATCTGTAAGACTGGCAGTGCTGCTGTGATCAGGTTCTTGACAGATCTCAAACAGCTAAAATATCTCTATCCTGCAACATGATATGGAGGTTAATAGATTGAGAATTTGATCACAAGGTATTGATACTGTCTAGAAAAAATTATACACCATTTAAAGTCAAAAGAAAGTTCGATAACTAAAATTATCCATTATGAAGTTGAACAATCTGCGGACCAGGCTCAGAGTCTCGAGGAATCTGCTTCTCACTACATAAAGTGAAACCACCGAAAGTATCACAAATGTTGATTAAAAGGGGTGAATAATTTTTTACCTTCTAATAAGTCATTTTATGACAATTTGGAAGAGTTTCAAATGAAAAATTGGAAAATTTTCCGCTTTGCAATTGATTAGGAAGAATGTAAACAAGCCGCCATAATGCCAACAGCCGAGTAGCATCAGTCAACTTTAGGCGAAATCAGAAAATACATGACTGTTGTTCCGTTGGATCCCCGAGAATTAGATGTGCCTCTATGGAACGCCGTTAGGGACCAAACCTAAAACGCGTGCGCAACACAGGAAAATACACGCGCGACACAGTAAATCTCCGCAGCACAGGGAATTCTGAGTGATTCACGGAAAATGTTGTGCGTTGCGAGTAATTTCGATATTTTACTGATTACGCGTAGCGCACAGGAAATTACGGGAATTACCTCAAATGGTGTGTCGCGCGCCGAACTTCGATATATCGAAATTCCACGCGACGCACAGCATTTTTTACTTCTTCCTACGCGACGCACAACATTTTTACTTCTTCATTTTCTTCGTCAGGAAACCGTTGGAGGGGAATGATGGCATTGTTGCCAAGACTTTCAAAATTCGGGCTTGCCGAAAGTTGCGATCTGCTGATCAAGAGGCAAGTCGATGTTGTGAATATGATACTAGGTGATACTAAAACCGAAAACGAATTCTTCAATCTAAAATGATCAGAAATATAGTAGGCTTTTCAGGCATAGTCTTGACAACAGTGCAGCTATTCCCCTCCAACGGTTTTCTGATCTGAAGAAGAAAAAAAATAAGATTGTGCGTTCCCCGGAGAGAAAAGAAAATGTTGTGCGTCGCGTGGAATTTCGATATATCGAAGTTTGACGCGCGACGCAGCATTTGAGGTTATTCCCGTACTTTCTTGCGCGCTACGCGTAATGGTTAAAATATCGAAATTTCTCGCAGGGCACATAATTTTCCGTGAAACACTCAAATTTTCCTGTGCAGCGGAGATTTACTGTGTTGCGCACGCGTTTTAGGTTTGGTCCCTAACGGCGTTCCATAGTGCCTCACTGAAAATCCAACGTGCTCGGTCTCTATTTGTCTCTGAAATTAACAAACCGTTACGACTGTTACGAGGTTATGTACCGGCAGACCGGCACCAGCCCAGCCACACCAGCGCCGGCGCGGCGCACCGAGGAAACAGCAATAACCAGATATTGCCGGCGCAGAGATACGACTATTCGTACTTGATGGATGTCCGTGTCGTATCTGCAAAATGGAAGGCGTGCAGCTAGCACAAAGTTGCCCTTGACAGCATTTATCGCACAAATAATTTTTAGAATATGAATGTAAAATATTCTGGACAGAAAACGCTTCGTACTTTCACTACCAAACCAGATTACAGGGCGGAAGAAGGGATGATAAGCATTAATAAAACTGGCTGATACTAGCGCGCGAATTCTGTAGACATAGAAGCCCCTTCAATTAGTAAACAGACAACATGCACAACACTTTGATACAGTGCCCGTCATTTCACTGTACACTTAATTTGTTAATTGCACTTCATTGCAACCTGTGCTATGTGCTTGGGAATAACTGAATTTTGTAAATTGGAAGTAATGGCTATGCAAGATCGATTAGATTCTCACCCGTGTAATCCGTGTTTAAAGTGAGAGCAAAATCTGAAGTATACCCCTAGTAGCAATGGCTCTTGAAAAAAGTTCTACAAAAAGTTGTACAAAAAAATGTAAAAAACTTGTTAATTTTAAGAGTTCGTAAATTTTTAAGGAAAAAAACTCTTAAAATACTCGTTTTAGGAAATCCTTTTGGGGAATTTTTTTAAGTAAAAAAATAGTGTTATTTTAATTAAAAGAAAACGTAAAATTTACATGAAAATCAATAAACTATATCCTCAATTTTTATGGGCTGCAACTGCTCCTTTTATACTTTTTTGTTCACCACTTTTTTTCCTCGTTTTTGCCCGCAGGAAGCTAAAAAAAATACATAAATTTTACTTAAAATTTATGTAAAAAAATCCCCAAAAAGGGTTTTCTTATACGAATATTTCAAGAGTTTTTTTTAAGTGATTTTCAAGTGGTTTTAGGTAAGTAAATTTTAAGAGATCTCTTAAAATTTACGAGTTTTTTACAACTTTTCTCAACAGCCACTGCTACCAGGGACAATGATTTTTTCATTCAGTCAACATTTTTCTTTGTAAAAATAGAACTCGATTGATACAATGATGAGTTTTTCCTACAATGTAGAAGAAGTTCTAAGATCTTAAGCAGCACTGCAAGGATGTAAGTTCTTTCCTGCAAAAAGCCGTCTATTAGAGAAATTGCTTCTAATCATCTGCGGACGATTATTGAAATGATATCAACTCTATGTCGCCGCTTTGTCGTGTCGCGCCATCGACTGAGTGTGACACGACAAAGCGGCGACATAGAGTCGATATCATTTCAATAATCGCCCCACTGAGATGCAGGGAGTCGGCAGTCTATAGATTATGATAGGAGAGTTTCCCAGACTAAAATGATTCCTCGGTCGTTAGCCCACATCCTGTCGCGGCGGCAACGCGGCGGCAGATCAAGCGGGATCGGTGACGTGTCTGGTTTCGTGATTCCCGCGCCCCCCAGGATCCCGGAATGCGGACCTTGAGTCCGCGCATCCGGCCCTGGTGGTTGGCGGGGGCTGAAAGCGGGCCGGACCGGAGGAGCAAGTCAAAGTTGACTAGTGCTTCGGATGGGGTTGGCCGGCCGCGTCNATGATCGAATTCCCAGGTTAATCATTTCCACAATTTGGATGCACAGAATTAAAAATGAAAAATTTTTAACATTAATTCTTTGCAAATGACAAGAACACGTCGTTGGCAAAAGAGAAAAACCACTTATCTCTATTGCAATGTTTCTAAATTTCCACTTCTATTTGCTTTTTATCTAAGAGAAACGAGCCAACTTCACAGCTTCTTTAAACAGAACATATTCTGCTGATACAAAAAATAGAGGGAAGTTTTTAAGAAAATATGCAGACAAGTCCTGCAAAGAAAAAATAAAGCATGACAGGAAGTTTGCAACTTTGCGAATGGAGATACGTGGTATCGCAATTTGGTCATCGTTGTAAACCTTTTTTTCTTCTACAATGAATTTCTGTTCTGCAGAGTGTAGTAAACGGAGCATTGAACTACGAACCAGGCTGAGAGTCAATTTGATTAGGTGGACAGCGCTGATATTTTTTCAGATTTCAAGCTACAAGATTTTTCATATTTCCAGTCATATTAATGCAATTCCCTAGCCCCTATTTAATTTTTCTGCTCGATCAGTGACACCCAATTTTTTTTTAAATTAATTTTTTGAAAAAGCAGAGTGAACTAAGCTTCTTTCAGAAAAGGAATCTAAAAAAATAGGTTCCGTTTTCAAGACCTGTGGACTTCCTGGAAAAGTGTTCAATTCATCTGAGGATTGGAAAAATAACTCATTAAAGCACAGGTAAAAAATATATTACACTTCAACAATGAGTCACTAAAATGCCTTATATACAAAAATTGTTCTCTCTCATCAGAAGAAGTACATCCTGCAAAACTTTAAAGCACTTGATTGCACAAAAATTACAGAGTAAGTATTTGGCTAACTTTACAAAATTTACAAAATCCAGAGTTGGCTCTTAAGAGCTTATCGACAACGAAACTGCAAAAATGCATATTTTGATTGCAGCGTTGTAAAATCTCAACTTTCATTTTGTCTTATCAAAAGAGAACAAACGAACACTATTGCTCGGAATACTCATAGATTATTCTTCACACAGAGAAGAAAAATCAAAGAGGTTTTCAAGAGATGAGTATTTTCTGATTTAAAAAATGAATTGTGAGAGGAGGTCTCCAATGCTGCAAATTGCAATGCATATTTCTCAAGTCTCACCATCACTGTGTGTGCTTCAGCTACTCCATTGGAAAAATCTCCTAAGTGCAAGACCACTCTGTCAACAGGCAAAACATACTTGGACATCATGGTGCATAATTATTCAGTGTAACCACAAGTTTCGCTTCTGTCTCAGTCAAGACATTAGCAGCGATTAATAAAAAAAAAAAAGGTTTGGCAGGGTGTTCAGCAGAATTGAAGTGTTGATAGCAGAAAGAGCATCGATAAATTGTTTCTGCAGGTACTAAAGAGAATTTACTGTTAAAAATTCTGACCAATTTTTGACCCCATCTGAAAAAAATTCTTTCTACGAAAATTTGCCTACGTGTACTACAATTATGGACAGTCACCAACTGATGATTAAATTCTGCAAAAATAGAACTCTGTTTCGCTATAAAATCTTCCTTAATACTTCATTTTTTGAAGAATATCTAACGGACAATATGACTTGAAATTTTCACAGAATAATTTTGATAGAGAAAAGAAAAATCTAAGAGAATTTTGATAAATATTGACAGGTAGTTTCCCTTTTACAAAGTACCTAGAACATACTAGGGATTTAGCAGAGTTTTTCAACATGTGTTGTTTGACAACAGTTGATCACATGTAAATGACGTTCTGAATTTTTGAATGCGTACGAACCTGCACAGACTATACTTGAGAACAGAGGTTAATCTTCGAATGTATTCCTTTTTGCATCCATCAGGGAAAAAGTTTTAGATTAAGTATCCTCTCCTTTTTCTTAACTCTTTCATAATCATGACCACAAACACACCATATTCTTCTGGCAGAATTTCCAGATAATTCATCAACACCCACTCAAAAATATTCTCATTTTCATCTTACACTGAATTACTTCCACACAAATTTTGGACAAAATTTGCAGTGTTACTTTGTACAAATATCAATCTGCATTAAAAATTAAATACGAAAGCTAATTCTAATCTGAATATTGAATATGAGTGCCCATTGTTGCAAGATTTTCAAGGTGATGTTTTTAATCTACAGTATGTACAAAAACTTACTACTAAAATGTAATTTGAACATCACAGATAATTGAATTGCTTTGATTCAAGTTTATGTTGCTACATTGTTTAATCGATAATACTACACACTACTGTTCTTCCAAAATGCTGGCTCTAAAATAGATACAAATTTGGCGTCTCCTTTCATTTTTTTACTTGACGGCTCGTTCACAAGTAGACTAATTGTCATTTGAGACCTCCTTAAATTATAAATACAAACGTAAGTTTTGTAGGTAATGAAAAACATGCAGGGGGTTGGATGTAAGTCATATGAATAAAATTTTAAAATAATTTTGGTATCTTCTTTTGCACTTAAAATTTATTTTAATGGAGTTAAAAAAAAATTTAGGAGCAAATTGGGTACTTTAAAACAATTTTAAAATTTTATGCATTTGGTAAATTATCCTGTTAACATTAAATGTTGTGATCAAAAGTAGTGAATCAATAGCGCAAGCTAAAAATATGGCATGAAATGCCTTCCTTGACTGACAACAACTTTGGTAGACAAACTATGAACACATGCACAATTCCATAACGGTTTGAATTGTGAGACAAAGTGTAGACTTTCAATGTCTGACAACTTATCCGAGAGTTTTTTTGCATGTTTGCAAAATTTAGATACAAATCGAATTTTTTTCTTTGCCTGGATGAGATCAAAATACGAGATGTCCTTGAAAGTAAACTTAAGGCGAAATACATTCACACTTCAATGATAAAATTTTAAAAAAATGTATTTCAAAGTGGCATTTTTAAACAGGGTTGCCATAGATTTTAGAGATGAATTTCCCTGACACATTTGGGTAATAGTCCCTGACAAAGACAATTGGAGATATATCAGATGTTTAGGAAGACATAATTTGAAATAGTTTCCAGGAAAACATTGTTGTTTAAAACATCAAAACCCTTCTAGAAAGTAAATAAAGGTGACTTAACAATTGTTCCTTGACACTTTCATCAAATTCTCTGACATTTCTCAGGTTTCCTGGTATTCCCTGACTGTGACGACTCTGTTTGAATCTTAGGTCATAAATTATATTATTAGAAAATCACTGATATTTTCGCAATAAAAGGTGCCTGTACATAGAACCAAAGAATTCAGCTCTGGCTAAATTCCATGTGATGTTCTTCATGATCTTTTGGGAACGATAAACTTTGAAAATGTAACTTTCCACGGGCCAATTTCAAGGAAAGCAAGACTGAGAAGTAGAAAGTTTCGATTTTAAAAGCTCACAATGTTTAAAGACACCGTATCAAATAATGATGAAAAGCCTGCACAGGATTCTGAGGTTGTCAGTGCAGGGTCCTTTGCTGAGAGCATTCTTGAAAATGCAAAGCAAATCAAACACAATTTAGAACAGTTACAAAGATTGGTCCACTGCAAAAAAATGATGTTATGACAGGAAATCTAAAATTTTGCAAACTAAAATATAAGTGATTCAGTTTCACCAAAGATTATACAGTTCAAACAACAAATGAATTTAAGACTTTTGAATTGTTAGAATACACAGTGATAACAGACAGATATAGGAATGGTAAAAGTATTTACAGATATAAAGAAGGTAAAACTGGATGGGTGAAAAATTCCGTACCTTCCAAAAATTAGGGTGAAAATTATGGGTATTTTGGCACAAAGACTTCTAAGGCTTGAAAACTGATTGAGGTGTAAGATCTGGATGTGTAGCACTCTGCCGTACTGAGAAAGAATGCTGTACGAGCCCTTAGACAATGCCAAACTTTTTTTGGGCAAATCACGAATTTCCAGGTAAATTGTGAATATTCTTCTATTAAATTTTCAGAGAATTTTGATCATAGTATGATCTAAAATGTCTGCCAATTTTGCTGAAAAATATTCTTAGTTTTCACAAAAAAAAAAAAATAAATAAATAAAAAAGTGTACTTTCTGAGAGTTAATTTGGAAACATTCGAATTTTCATATGGCATTTTTCCTTAGCAGGCAGTACTGCGAACAATAGTTTTAATTCAAAAAGTATATCAAGGTTGAGACAAATGTTTTTTTTCAATGTAAACTGGCTCTCGATGCGAACAGCCAAAGATACCGCTATCTCAGCTGGAGCCACAAGTAAAAGCTCTGCTTCAGGTTCCTGCCCTTGTCTTTTTGGACTCCAAAGCAATAAAAGTCCAAAACAATGTGACAAGGATCAGATCCGAAGTGTCGAGTTTGTTTGTTGAGCGAATATACTCCACAAGATCCAGTTTGTCAAGCCGGAGTCTTTATGTTTACAGGCATATTTTCCGCTACCAAAAAATTCATGCTTACAGAAAAAAACCTCACATTTACAATGATTACAACACATAGAGCTAAAGCTGAGAGGAGTTACTTGACTACCATAACTTCGTAATCACCGTATGGCAGTTCATGGCCATTGTAAGGAATGTAACACACTTTATGACTTGGCTGGACCTGCAACAAAAAGAAGAGATAATCAGTTGAAAGCGTCATGTGTAAAATAGGCTTGGTTACAGCTGAAATAAAAATATGTCAACGGTTAGATTAAGAAACCGCGTACCTTAGTTCAGGGCATTGCAAATTTCTCAGCATGTATTAATGGTTTAATTTGATACTAAATCAACATAGTTTCTCAAAAATTTTTGTGATTTCTCTTCTCTGTTTGAGGAATTTTTTGTTATAGTTCCAAGAGATGAGATTGGCCTGTTTTTTCTTTTTTTGAAAAAAAAAATAAATAAAAAAAGGTAGACTCTGATTTTCAGCATCATGGTCAATTTTCCTGTCAACAGTCACAAAAACGTAATTTTCTCATGATTGAATTGATAATACTCACACACAAAAATTAGGACAGTTTGCGCATTTTTAAGTTTATACTCTTCGGATCAGTTTATGAGTCCATTAACTAGTACTCCAAGGTTAGGAGCTTGAAAATTATGTTCAACTTAACTTAAGACCATGCAATTCAAGATTTGAAATCTTTTAGCAGAAAAAAAATTCAGATATCAGTGATAATGCATTGCATCTTGGCCCACTTCAATTAATCCAATAACCCCTCTTTCAACTTTAGTTTATTTGAGAACGTTCTTGATGGATGAAAGCCAGTTTGAACTTTGGACTTGCCTCCTGACTCTGCTGCTGTTGAGTGGCCTATCAAAGTGTCCTTCTCAACAGAAACATCATCCGAAATTCTAAAAAATGGCAATGCTGATACACCATTTTTCTCAAAATAGATCGGATAATTATATACAAGGTTCTGTCTTGCACAAACATGCAACATGTGTAGCTGTCATTTAGACGAATTAAAAACTGACCTTAATTTTGCAGTTAGAAACTACAATTTCTGGGTCATACGTAAAAACACTTATGCATAGGGAAAGTAATGGTACATATGTCGTTTCTAAACAGAGCCAGATTGTAGTTCTGAATTGCAGAATGTAGTCTAACTGTACTGCCACGCTGAGAAAAAACGCTGTAAGAACCTCCAGAGGCTGTCAAATTTTCTTTAATAAAATAAGAATTTAATGAGAAAATCATGAACACTTTTCTTCAAATTTTTTAGATAATTCTGTTCGCACTTAAATCTAAAATATCTGAAAATTTCAAGGAAAAATATGCATGACTTTCTTCCAAAATACGTTTTTTATCCGGAGTAATTTGGCAACACTGGAATGTTCATACAGCGTTTTTCCTTAGAACAGCGGTATACAACAGAGTATACAAAGCGCATTTACTGCATGTTTTTGATGATGAAAGGAAGAGGCAATCAAACTCGACTCACTGAAGTGTTCATTGTCATAGTTGAGGGCAATCCAATTTCGATAAAAAAGAAAAAGAAAAACGCAAAATTTCGACTCATATCAGCTCGTTGAGATCATCCGACACTTGAGGAGCAAAGCCCTTAAGTAGCATAGACGTGGAAGCGCAGAGACGGAGAAAAAAAAGAATGGGACGAGCTATTGTTGCAATTCTCCATCACAAATACACATATCCGCAGACAAGAATGTGTGTGGAGGGAGGGGAAAAACTGAACGTTGCAAAACTTGAAACAGCTAAAAGAGAGCATGTATTTTGAAAGTAGAATTCTCTCCTACGACAGGATTGGGTATCCACCGAAGAATCCTGATATTTCACTACAAGATGAGTGTCCCTGGGAAAAAAGGACTTTATTGCGGAGAGGCGAGTCGTTCAAGGGAGTAACTTCAGAAAAGTTTAGTTGTAAAATTTGAGTAAGAATTCTTGACAGGATATGCTCTCTGATATCCCAAATAATCCGTTACAAGCAAAAATAAGTCATTTTTGTGCCATAGGAGGGGGAGGGAGGGATAACAGGAGTTAGAACATACGAATGGAAAAGGATTTTAGTGCCACGTCTACCTCGCTATGATACTAAGGGCTGCTTTAAAACATTGAGAACTCTGAAATCGCATTTTGGAGTGACGTTTTTGTTAACTTTTTTCTTCTAAGATTATGGCCATTTTACCTATAGATGGCTACAAGTAGAACACTTTTCAATCACCTCTTGCAAAATAAACGTGTGCCATTCGAAAGGATGAATTGAATTCTTGACATGATGAATGAATAAAATTGATCTAGAGGAAACATTTTCATAAACCTGTTCTGGAATGAGGCAATGAAATACTTGAGGTGTGTGTGAGTATCTTGAATTCAAAAGGAAACGGAAGGACAAATTGAATTTACATTTGTAAAATCTAGGCCCGAAAATACATCAAAAGATTCAAGGGTGTGATATTCAGACGTCAAGCCAGTTACAAAATTAAGACTATTGAAGAAGAGGGAGAAATATTCAAGATCTGACTATAGATTAAAACTGATATTGGGCAACCATGTATCAGTGCTGTACGCATGCTGAGAAAAATTATGGTAATCAGTCACTCTGGAAAGATGAATGAAATCTGTTAGCAGCGTTGTCAAATTTCGATCAGGAGTGGATAGAGTATATTCTAAGACTTCCTTGAAAGTCTTTGTTTTATTTATCTTTTTCTCAGTGGATCGATTTCCTCTGATTTTTTTCCTCCGGTTCTATCCTTTTTCCCTTTTCAAAAATCAGTCAGCACTACAAATGGAACTTTGACATGATGCGGTTGCACAAGGAATACTTTTTGCAATATTTAAAGACAGAAACTCTTTATAAGATTTCTCATATCTTGTGCCTTGAGCATGCGCGATTTTTGCCCTAAAATTAAGATCAGAATTTGGGGAATGGTTAAAGGCATTTAAGTTCTTTTACATTGAAGAACATTATGCACAATCTCAGGAACACCTGATCAGCTATGAGGCTGAGGAAGATTACCATAAAAATATTTCAATGTTGTCATAATTCACCCAATAAAATATTCAATTTAGAGAAAAGTAATAAAAATTCATCCTTGAAATTATCATGCACACAAGATCAAGTTGTGAAGAAAATTTTCTAGAATTTCAAAGGAAAAAAATTCGCAAGTTTCTCAGAATATTTGTATTTGAGGTAATTTGGTGATGCTCTGGGATTCAAAAGATGTTCTTTTGTGGCTATACAACGATGACAAGATACTTCCAATTTTTCCCTTCATTTTATAAATTATTCATTTGTGAGCTGGCAACAGTGCGTAGAGCAGCCAGTTTTGCAAATCATGTCTCTTGACACATTGATTAGTCTACTAATAACTATCAATCCTAAACTAGTATTCAGACTGTCCACACTAAGGAAAACGACTGGATTTATGTTAATTCCTGCTTAACCGATAACACAGCAGTCTCCCAGTCCCAGAAACCTTTCCTTCAAGTGAACCAGGTTTCCTTAAGCTGGCAGGGATTTCCCCAGGAGCACACTGCTGCCAAGTCCATCAATTCTACCGAGAAAAGAGAGAGTCTGGAGCTTCATACGGAATATATTACTATGTAAATTTCACAGATCAATGTCGTACTACTCCTAACCCACTTGAAGTTATGATAACCGAGTAATAAATCAGGTGAGCATCAAAGAATGACTTATGCATTCAATGTTGCCGAGTGGAAAGAAAAATAAATGTAGGATAAGAGGATTATAGTGAAAAAACATTTCGTTGCACCTTTCAAGTTGTGCCAATTTCATTTTTTTTCAGTGATATTTTGTCACAGTTTTCAGAGGCTGAATTAGATAGGGTTGCACTTGTAGTGATATTCTATGATTTTCTGGCTGTTTTTGAATTTATCAACAGCCAAGCCTTATACGTCCAAAAAATTTCCAGACTTTTTCATGACTTTGAAAAAATAAAAAGATAAAAAACGCGTATAAAAAATAAATAAAAATATGAAGTATGAATAAAACATGATGATACAAAAATAAATAAATAAAACAGGTAAATTCCTGGAATTCCCCCCCCCCTTTTCCCCCAGATAGTTATCAATATACTTCGAAATTTTTTTAAAAATCATTTTCTGGTGAAAAAATTCTATGGCCTGTTTTTTTAGAAAAATTACCAAAATTTATTTGACCACAGAACTAAAAATTGTTTACCTGGTAAGATTTCCAAAGCCTATTTTTTAAAAAAAATGTCTTTTTTTATAAAATTCCAAGTCTCATTGAAAATACTTGAAAGCTATAAAGTTTTCAAAAAATTGCTTCCAAAACACTTTTCCTTGTTCACACATATTTAATTAACAAGTCCTCATTTTGAGTTTCAGGAGTAAATATTGAAATCCATTTCATTATCAAACTTGGCAACATTGCTTCTTTATTAGAATCACCACGCCTGAAGAGGGGGGAGGGGACGAGGCAAAACTATAGCCAAAGAGAAAGGAGAGGTGTCGGAGCTGTCTTGTTTTCAAGTCAGGACAGATAAAGCATTAATCCCGATCACGAGACAGTTGTCGCAAAAACAATCGGCTTGCCAGGTGTGACTGGAGCCTCCACCCCTAGAGTCAGTGGGGACTCCGGGTTCGGTGGTTAGTGCGGGATGTTATCTTGATTCCTCCGTCTGCCCCAGTTGGATTTCTTTTCTTCTTCTTTCCTTTTGTCAACGATCAGATGTTGGAATATGCTTTCAGTGAGTACACACTTCATTTTTATTTTACTTGTGGAGCTGCTTTGAGTAACACTTGTGCGCTCGTTCGTTTGTTTTATGTGGAGTGCACCACATGGTGCCTCATTCGAGTTGATCACGCCACTAGCATGGTTGCCACTTCTTTTGGTTCAAAATTATTACCCATTTTTCATGTTTTTTTGCTACTTTAGTGTGATTAAAGCCTCCGAACCCCCCCCCCCCCCCCCCCNAAAGGATTTTATTGACTTGCCCTATCATCTTGATCTTGCAGAAGTGTTTCGATAACTAAAGTGCGAAACCACCTATCTCCATTGCAATGTTTCAAAATTTCCGCTCTTATTTTATTTTTTCCAAGAGAAACAAGGCAATTTTATAGCTAGAAATTTCTACAGAATATTTTTCTGATGGAGGGGAAAAATCGAGAAAGTTTTCAAGAAATTGCGTTGACTAGTTGTCCAAAGAAAAAATAAGTATGACACGGAGTCTGCAATGTCGGAAAGGAAGATACGGGGTTTCTTGCTTCGGCCATCGATTTATCGTACAAAAATTATCTGAGATGAACTTGACTGTGTTAGACATTGGTCGACTCTCTTTTGGCTTTGAAATTTCGCAAGTTGTTCACAAGTGGTGAATAGTTCAAAAATATTTTTGAGAACTTATGTTGCTTTGTTTCAAATTGAAAAAATAAAATACAAAAAAAAAATCCATATTGTGAAAGGCCGTTACGTTGATTCAAAAGTTAAGGCCAAAAAATGAACCGCATTAACTTAAATCAGCTTGACTACATTTCACGCTGCCTAATTTTTCTCCAGTTTTTTTGTTTTGACAGAACCGAACAACATAATATTCAGGAACTTTAAGCGACTTTTCTCAGGCTTGTAGTCAATATACGTACAAAATTTTGATCCAGAATATTGCTGTTTTCTGTAACAACGCGTTTTCTACATCTAGGCACATTCACATTAATATTGTTTCGTTACTAATAGTGCACCTTATGAACCAAGGCAAACCTAAATTGAAATGAATCACTGAGATAGTTTTCAAAAATTATAACTTTTGACTCACCATTCCGACGATGGTGGTTCCTTGATGGTTCGTTCTTCCCACGAACAATGTTTCACCGGTATCCGCAGTACCCGCGGGAAGCGCTCCCTCTGGAATAATTCCGCCTGATGCAGGGATCCAACTCACAGTACAATCACACAACACCTAAAACACAAAGTTTGCATTAGAAAAAAATATGACACTTGATAGCGTGTACCTCTCATGAGACTCATTCTAGAGAGGAAAAAAAGAATGGTTGCATTCACCGATTTATTTCCACCATGACATAGTTTGGCACCAATATTCCTGCAAAATCTGATATTCTGAAGATAGAAAACTGACAGTGACGCTTCTTTCTTTCGCATGATTCAACACAGAATATAAATTCAAGCACTTTCGAAGTATGACTTTCTTTCAATAAAGCAAACTACAGTACTTTCTCTCTATAACGACTATCGTTATAGCGAGAATCTCTCTGTAACGAGGAAATCGGTCGGTCTCTTGAACTTCCTATATTAAACTATCTCTCTATAACGACTTAACTTAACTTAAACTTTCTCTCTATAACGACTATCGTTATAACAAGAATCTCTCTATACCGAGGAAATCGACCGGTCCCTTGAGTTCTTGTTATAGAGAGAAAGTACTGAAATTTAAAAAAATTTCTGTTGTCGCTCAATCATCCACCTCTTTCCAATATGTTTAAAACCCAAACAACTTCTTGATTTCTCTATGAACTCAATTCGCTTAAAAAACACAGTGAGACCTACTAAGACACCTAAAATTAGAACAAAGTTGGCAAGATGTTTTAACTGTTTCTTACTATAGGCGGAAAGCTCAGAAATTAACTTTTCCCCTTTTTTCTACGATTATTACTAAAACTGAAAAAGTTTCATCTACATGGTTATGTAGCTTGTGCTCATAGAGGTGTCGTCAGCTAAGTTGACGGTTGTTTACTTTCCGTTTGCAGGCGTTTTTGCGTCACTATTATCCACATGAAAACATCTGGCTCTCTCAGAAGCAAGAACACAAGCTTAGATAAGTTTTTTAGTACTTTCAAACCTTGTAACACTATAATTTTTAGCCACACAGAAATCACAACCACAAAAAAGTCGCAAATAATGACTGATAAGTAGTTTTTTTACGATACGATCATGAGACTGATGTTTTCAATGTGGATAGTAGCGAACGCTGCTTTGTTCAGAGGCCCAAATTCGACGTTGGCGCTTGCAAACCGAAAGTAAACAACCGTCAACTTAGCTGACGACACCTCTAACTTTCTACTTCCCTTTGGTTTTTTTTTAATTCTATTTTTTTTAAACAGTTGCTCTGAAATTGTATATATTCGTGGTCGTAGTGACAAATTTTCTGCCCCTTTTTTTAAATTATAGACTCTACTTCCCAAATACCTGTGGAAGCCAGAAAAAATCTCAAAGATATCATGCTGATTCCTACAATCGATACTTTAAAATTGTATACTGATTAGGCTAGTTGAGGAACTGACCTAACTCAAGAATTGACCTTTGTCAAACAGAATTGTGGTCCACATTTTAGTATCATCTGCTTCTTACAAACATTAATAAGAGAAAAGTCTACAAATAGCAGATATAGTCTGCCTAAGAAGATTTTAATTCGAGCTGAAGCAGTATTTCACTTTTGTTTTTAGTTTTTTTTTAAGGACTTTCTCTTCGCAAAATACAATCGTGTAGGATCTTTGCCTTTGGTTACGGATAATGAACAAGAATCCAATGATACTTCATTGCTTTTCCAGAATTTAAGAGCTTGAGAGTGAAAAAAAGGTAATAGAGGTGTTAAATCTATTAAAATCCAAACACAGAAATCATGTATTTTCATATGCAACAACGCAGACTTCCCCACATATTTTATTTTTAATTAGGGAATCAACAATTATTATTTACACAAACTGATAGCGGTAGACGCAGGGGTCGTATGACAGCAAGTTGGAATTTTTTAGATGACGAGCATTAAAAATTCAGAAAACTGGAAATCTGAATACAGAGGGAAAAAGCTCATATGAGCACATCTTTCCCCCAAAGAGACACGCTGTCTCGGGAAAATTTTGCCCATATGAGCTTTTTCCCTCTGTATTCAGATTTCCAGTTTTCTGGATTTTTAACGCTTGTTGGTTAAATAATTCCAACTTGCTGAATTTTATTTCTTAAAAACTGATTTTCCTCCTCTGTTTGGAAAAAATAGTCTACGAAAATGAACAATGGTGTTAGTTTTATTTTTCTTCTGAGAAAAGAAGAAATAGCAGAAATTTTGAAAGTTCTGATGAAAACATGCAATTTCTGAGTTTGGTTATTGATATTCAAATAAATTTGAGTGTTCCTCTTCTTCTTCTGACAACACATACAGCACAGTCATGTTTGACAAGTTTTCCGGTACTGAGCATATATATATCACTATTAAGTATAAAAGTGAGGTAAAATAAGCAGTAAGTGGTGTAAATTTGAGTATCAGTGCAAACTACATAAAGACTTACGTCATAATCTGGTTTTCCGTGCTCGACTCCGCGCCAGGCAATATAGCACATACCGTGCGAAGGAACGATTTTACCAGGAATGAGGGCGCCATCATGATGAGCCCTGCCAACGTACAACTCAATCTTGTCGAAGCCGCCTTTGACTGCGTTGGGTGGTATCGCCCCGTTGGACGCCGGCACCCATCGGCCGGAACCCATGGACGAAGAGGCCACGTTCCAACCGGTCGGCTCGATGACCATCTCCACGACGTTGGTGAGGAGGGAGGTTGTGCGACTTTGGCTCCAAGATGACTCTGACTCGAGAGACGCCCCATCTGTTGGAGTGTGGAGGGATTGCGGGGATTGTGTTGCCGAGTGCTGGGTTGCGAGGTTCTGTGGGGAGGGTTGTGGGTGACCGGGGGATGGTTGCGGATGACCAGGGGATGGTTGGGGGTGTCCAGGAGAGGCCACGGCGTGTGCTGGGGGTTGGTGCTGAGGGAAAGCGACTAGGTTTTGGGGTAATGCAAGAGTCGGTGTCGTTGATGTGCTTGGTTCGCCGACACAACCTGAAATCAACCAAAGGGTAATAAGTCAATTAGTGTGAAGGTCATCAGAAAAGGGACCTCAGAATCCTGTGCAAACTTTTCAGTGCTGTTGCTTTTGTCAAGTTGAGTTACAAGATACAATATTGTTGTGAAGATAAGTTGGGGGACCAAATAAGTTGATTTTTGTACAAATAACAATTATATTTCAATAATTTTGAACACAGCAGATAAAAAATTATTCATCCTTTTCTCAAGATACAGTATTTATGTATTTATACTACTAACTTCAATAAGCCATGAACTAAATCTCAAAATTTTTGAAAATGTGGGTATTTTGTGATAAACAATTAAAAAAAAAAAAAAAAAAAAAAAAAAAAAAAAAAAAATTATTTATGAAAAGTAACCAATTAGTAATGATGAAAGATTGAACATGTTCTCCAAGAGGGGAAAAAGAAATGGATTTAACACCAGAAGAGACGCTACAGAGATTCCAGTAATTATTCAAGGAGGAAATGTCCAGGATATATTTGACAATTTTGGGGCCCAGTTACTTTTTGATGAAAAATAATAATGAAATATTGGTTTTGTACTCTTGAAATTCCTCAGTTTCTTCAAACTATAAAGTTGATTTCTAAAAGAAAACTAGTCCTTAACTCAAAATGGCTGGAAACTGATTTTAATATAAGTCCCCAAAAATCTTATCGTTTCACTATTAAGTGCGCCAAGGATAAAATTTCTAGACAGACTTCATTCATTCACAGTTACTTCACAACTTGCAGTCAGTTTTTTTTTTCTAATGAAAAATCTGATTCTTGAAAAAGTCCTGTTTTAAAAAACAACTGATTAATTTCACCATGTAATTTTTCCCCTAAGTATATTCAACAAGACATTTTTTCTGCTAAAATTGGTTGTTCTCAGTAAGCCCCCTCTTCCTCACTGAAAAAATAGGCGAGTAGCCTCATTTGGCAAAAAATTGTCTGATGGATCAATATAAATTCCAATTAATAATTCCCAAGAAAAAATTCTTGTTGAGTCAAAAGGAAATCTTCATGTTAAAACAGTATTTCGGTGATTTTAAACAGCATCTTGGCGCCTGGCCGTTTCAAGAAATTTCTGCGTGTTTCAAAGAGGGTTCTTGTCCAAAAATTCTTAAGTAGAAGGTTCTTCTCAGAGTATGATAACACATAGAAAGTAGCAAAGGGGTACAACATTCACCTTCAACAATCCAATGTCCAGTTGCGGACCAGTTAGTGGAGAGTCCATAATACGCTACTGGGAATGGGTCAGGATCATCCCACGACATGAAAGGCCAAGATTCACCCTCACGACCAACAGCTATGCTACCTCCGGCCCAACGAATCCAGAAGCCTTTGTATTCATCAGAAGTGAGAATGTCCATGGTGTCTACGAGAGCTTGTTCCACTTTCGAACTGTTTTTCCTGATGCATGATTTGGTATTGGCCCATCCGCCTATCACAACCTGGAATAAGAAAGCACCAAAGATGTATCAGAAAAAAGTTTTAGACTTACTGCACAGTTGAAATTCAAGATGTATACTTTCCACCTAGGAAAAAGCACAGTATATTGAAAGAAAAAGGTATTTACTGTGAGTAATTTCATTTCAAAATCGTCCATAAACAGGGTGTCTACTAAAATTTTATTTTGGATTTTCCTGACATTTTTTTAAATGAAATAATGTGATATTTTGAGCAAAACTCGTTTCATTTACACACCAACATATTCAATAAATTGAATCGAATGATTCACTTTTGCTTGAGCAAAAACTGCATGTAGTTGAAAAATGCTTGACACACTCAGCACTTACTAGTAGCTGATGATAGGAATTCAAACTTGAAACAAGAATAAAGGCAGCATTTCATTTTGAATTTTTTTCCAAATGACTCTTTTCACTATCCTCTTTTGAAAGAAACTCTTTATCTTATAAATTCTTGAGTTAACATCAAATTTCCTGGGTTCTCCCTGTTTACCGTCGCAGTTAGTAAAAACCCTGCGTATGTCAACTTAGGTAAGATGCACACTAAATTTGTATCAACCTGCAAAATTGGCAAAAAAGAGTAAAAATTAAACGTGGTTGTCCATTGTAAATTCCACCCTTTTGTACATCTTCATGTCATAATGATTGCCAGAAGTATAAAATACTCTTCTCTGCAATGAAACCTCAACTCATAGTTTTAGAAAAGTTGCTAGTCTTAAGCATTTTCACATTTTAAAGAATGAACTCTTCACATCTCACCTCGTACATGGGGTTTCCTTCCCTTGGTACTGTTGTTAAGCAAACCTGCGCATCATTTGTTGTTTTGACTTTGAAGTGTAGAGAGCCAGAGGAAATGGGATGAAACTGGTAAATAGACTTGTCATCTGTTTGTATTTCTGAAAAGACACAAGCGAATAGTTAGATACTGGCACGACTTCACAGAATTTTGCACACTTAGAGATTTAAAACAAAGCCTACTTAAAAGGAATCTTTATTGCGAATTTCCAAGAAATCAGCTTATATGCGGATGCACTGTTTGGTCAGAAAGGTCCTCATATAAGATTTTCTCAGTAAAAATGTGCTAATTTCCTTGATAAATATGAGTTCCTTGTTGAGTTTGTCAAATATCTAACTCTGACAATTCTTTGGGTCGATTATTAATACTTTCAGCTTAATTAAAAAACCAAGGACCTATAAGGCTTCACAGTTTCTTGAGGTGATTTAACAGCTAGAAAATTTTTGATGAAAATGGCATACAATACATAGCATGTATTATGTGAGCTTTTTCAGTTAACTAAACTTACCTGAACTTAAACCCCATAAAAACACAGCAATATCAAATTTTCAGGTGAATTTTACTAAGCTAAGATCATGAATTTAATCACTGCTACATTGAATGTACATTGGGCTAAAATTACAGTTGCTTAAAGTGATTTCTGTGGGTTGAGATTCATTTTCCATCCTCATGTACAAGAGCAGTCGTGTTTTAGGTTTAAATTTGAAGTATTGCCTGATAATTAACATCATTGACAGGATATCGATGGTGAAAGTCCCAAACCTTGTATCTAGTTTGCATTGTTTTAAAATCTCCGCTCCCGTTTTAATCATTTAAAGGAGGACAAATAAACATCATTCCTTGAAGTTTTCCACGGATTTTCTTCACACAGAGAAGAAAAATCACAGCAGGTTTTAAATATTATCATCGAGTAGTTTGCTTTTTAAAAGATAAAGTATGACAAGAAGTCAGCAACATTGCAAACCGCGATACGTGTGTGGGATTTTCATTGTTGATATACCGAAAACCGGCTTAATCAGAATTGGACCGTAGAACAAAAAATCTTGATTCATCTGTCGATTAGACTAAGCTACCTTTATAGATGAATCCTCGGAGTCCGTTCGAATTAAATGGGACTGGCGGGTCGAACACCCATCCTGAGGTCCAACTTTTCATTTGCTCGATTTCGTAGATTGATTTGCGACCTCTCCTAAACTGTCCGGGTGTTGTCAGTTTCGTCCCCGTTGCTTCACATCTTTGCACTTCTTTCTTGATCCTCTTGATAGTCGAGTAGGAGATCCCAGTTGCCTCGGCCGCTCGCCTTAGTGGCTGGTTTAGCGGGACATTGAGCCCTTTCTTCTGCTTCTCTTCCTCGAAAAATTTTATTATATTACCTGTGCATACAAGAACACAGTAGAAATTAATCGACAACAAAACATAATAAAACTCCGATAAAACTTAAGGGTGGATCACAAGCTTAAAACCGTAAGATGTACTTTGGTCATAACAGTAGTTAAGAGGTATATATAGTGACTAACAATTTTGAAAAAATCGAGTAATTTGCACTCTTAACCTACCTAAGTAGAAAGGGTTTTATAAGTATTGTGGCCAAAGTGCAAAGTGACGGACCTATATTGCGCAGTCTCTGAAGTTCTACCACTGCTTTGTTTTTTCGAAGAGTATGGAGCCTATTTTACAGCTTCAAATGTAAGTTTATAGACTAATATATTGTTAACAGAGAGGATGAATCATAGAAGTTTTCCAGAAATCATGTTACTTAGGTAGTTTTCCGAGGAAAAAGTAAATTATGACAGACAGTCTACCAATTGCACATGGAGATACGTGATTCCAAAATTTGGCCATCGCTATAAGTAAAAAAATTGATCATGATATCTAATACTTGGCCAAAAATGTAGGGTTTTTGAATTTGCAAAATACGCTTCAAGTGATAGATCTGTTGCATGGTTCTCTCGTCATTCTTCGAATAGACAAATTTAGTGTGACGTCACATCTCGATTTAATTTCGATATCTCGAAAGTTGAAACGTGCCACAACAAACGAACATATAGGAATCTGCGGGATTTAGGCAGGGGGGGGTAGGGGGATTCGCTTTATGACTGTCACTGATATTACGAGCTTATTATACAATCAATTCTTGTGATTGTGATCTCGAACGTTTTTGTAAATGGCTAGCTTTCATAATTTTAAAGTCCCATGGAGCAATTTTTTAGTTTCAGGCAGTTTCAGCATTATTTCATCAATTGTTCATTTTGGAGGTTATGTTTGTTTGTTGGGGCACATTTCGACTTTCGAGATATCGAACCAAGAATATCGCTCCGTGACATCACCACTAAATTCGTCTATTCATGACACTGTTATTGAAGTTTTTTGGCTCTTAACTTCCGATATATTAGACACTTATGGCCAATTACCTATGATTTCGCGCCCTTGCTCATGGACAACTTTCTTGCCCCTTTTTCCGTCTTCTCGAGGCTCGTTTTTTGGCGGTTTGTTGCTGCTGCTTTTCAGCTTCTTTTTCCTGACGACATTGCCCGCTGGGAGTTGTTTTGCCGGTGGTTGACTGGTAGTTGACATTATCATTTTTTTCTTTAAAAGCTTCTTTTTCTTCTTCAAGGGGTCATCATCACCTCCTTCGTTCGATCTGAAAGAAATGCAGATGGGATGAGTATAACAGCTTAAAACGTAAGGTGAAAAAGTGCTTAAAATAAGGTTGGATTTTTTTAATAACTTCATGATCAATTATTCCAGCATAAAATTAAAATTCCCCTCATTAAGACTGTCAACTTTGAGGTCCTCAATTTCTATTTGACAAATTTTCAAAAGGGGGTAGGGGGAGTCTTGTCATGCCCATTCAATCTCTTAGTGAATTTTTTCTCTATAGAAATGATTTCATGAACATCAACAAATTTGTTTCCTCACCAATAGACGGCCAGTATAGAGAGCTAGGCATGTTCTGCAGGACCCTGAACTCCCATAAGAGCCAATTTGTTTACAAAAAAACGAGTGAGCACATACTGGTGCTGCAACTTTGCGTCGAATCCTTGCAACTAATTGATGTTAGACCTTTTAAAATTTCCGTAGTCCCATGCATGAATGTGGTTAAACAGTCTTGGCCTTCAAAGAAGCATTAGGGCGCTTAGTTGTGTTGAAAGAGGTCTAACCGTAAAGAATATGTACCCCTAATTTTCATAAGTTCAGCTGCCTAAGCAGTATATTTATTAAATATCTGCTTAACCTCACTTTGCAATGGGCAGTGAGAGAGTCAAAGTTCAGGGTAAGTGGTTGCCCTAAGATCAGCTGTCCTACCAAAAAATCTACCTGTCAAACTCTCCTGTGGTATGAAGTCGCATTTGATCTAATAATGTTCAGCCTCAACCAAGAAAAATAAAAGCCTTGGAAGATGTGCTCTTGAAGCTGCAAATCCGGAACTTTCGATAGACTATCTGTCATCATTTAGACACTTCAAAGTACATATGTCTACTTACGAGTAATACTTGACAAGTAAATTGTTCCTTTGAGCGCCTAAGGTAAGAAGGCGCCCGCTTCAATTCTGGGTTGCCCGTTAACATACTGGCTACCCTAAAAATCGTACTCTAGGTCCATGTATAACAGTAATTGTGCCAAAGCGAAATTTGAGTAGCTTACACCGTTAAGATCACCAGTCGATAGACCTTTGATAAAAGGCATGATCGGGCGATACAGATGAAAAGATTGAGTTCCAGCCGTTGTTGACGCAAAATTTAAGGTTATGTTCATCGATTCTTTCGTGTGAGATAACACGGATCAGGACAGAACTAGTGCCCCAAACTTTAATATAGAGGCAAAAATTGTGATCGTTTATTATTTCAATTTGAAACTTACTTCAGAAAAGTCGTGGGAAAGGGGAATAAGACAACTTACGAGTTTGATTGCTGGTGCGGACTTGGAGTAGAGGCATTGCTTTGCGGAACCGAAAAGTGACCATACGTACTTAGGGCGAAAGGCGGTTTATTCACCGGTGTATGCGTCGCCATAGCTTAACTTTAAATTAACCGAGAGAGAGAAAAAACTCACAGTTTTATTTAATTACTAAGCGATCAAACAGTTATTTTCAGTGGCACGAAAAACGTAAATAAATAAATATAATTGCTCACGGCTGCCAACTCAAGTCAACCGAGCACCGGAAATGTAACAAACAGTAACGAGAGTAGAACATCGAAAACGCTGTAAATCATTCAATATTGTGTGCAAATCTCTTTAAAATTACATTAAATCAATTAATTATACATTGAAAAAAGAACAAGAAGCTTTTTGGGAATGATGAATACTCGGGAATTTTTAGTACACTTTCAGTCAGTAGTAGGTGGCATCATGGAAGAATACTTGAACAGTTTCCTGAACCGGCCAATAGGGTGCGCGCCATGTTCGATCGCTGCGTGGCGGTTTTATACGAATAGATCCGCGAGTTTTCAAAAGAGCGCAGGGTCAAAGTACGAGGCGCAGGTGCTTCGGACGGTGGATTCGCTACGTTTTGAGCACTTGTTGAAAGTTCTAAGCCGGTTCTCCGGCTAGCTGCGGAGAGGGAGGGAGGGAAGGGGGTTGCTCGCAAAAAGTTTAATCCTCGACCTGCGTCAATGTTCTGTCCCGTTGTCCCCACCGTGAGCTCTCGATCGCTTCGGAGCAACAGCTGTGGATTATTTATAGCGCGATTTTGGGACCGTGCGCGTTCATGCTTTTGAACGTGCCTTTGGTCCTTACGCAATTAATTTCGCGTATTTTACTGCGATGAGGAAAAACGCCGTATGGGCGTTTGAATGTTGTCTAATTTCTCTCAATAAAACATGTATTTTTGCAAAAATTATGAATAAGTTTTTCTTTGACATTTCTGATTTGCTATTCGTAGTAAAATTCGAATAAAATTCGCAGAAAATTTCAGATGAAATATTCGCAAATTTTCCGGAAAATTCGTAGATTATCAGCAGAAATTAGGCAATGTTAGAAAGCACATGTGATGTTTTCTCCGGTATCGGTGGGACGTCAGAAACGTGATCCTTTCCGGAGCGGGTCAGTTTTGCGCGTGATATGGAAGGGCTCTCTGCTTACTTTCGACTTCTCTCGAAAAGTTACTTTTGAAAATTAAGGGTTCACTTGTCAAACTCGTTTTGATGTGGGGCAGGGAGTTGTTTGCTGGCCTCCCCCACGCTGTACTTTGGGACATTGCAAAATGTCTTTCGAATCCAAATGGACTTTCCTTTAGGAACATCAACAAAACCAGTCTAAACATTATTCTTTTTCTGAATTCCTGTTGAGCACGCGGTACGGGGTGTGTCATGATTTTTTATTTATTTTTTTATTATTTTTATTTTTTTCCGGTGGAGCGTGATTGATGTAGCTATTCCCAGCGGGGAGGTTTAACGGTCACAATGCTCAAGCTAAATAGGAACCCAAAGGGAGGCCATTTCGGAAATTTTTAAAAAATTTTGAGTCCCTCATGTGACATTTTAAGGGCAACTTTTCGTCCTTTGATTCATTTAAAATGAAGTGAAAAATTGAAGAAATAAATACACTTGTTCTCTCGTTGTTTTCGGTCAGTAATGATTCTTTCTACGTTATCACATTTTAACAGTCGTGTTTGATCAACTTTATAATAACTATCCCTCCAAAGTGAATATGATAGCCCAACAGCTTCCTGCACCTGTTCAACCAACGCTTACGAAGCGACAAAAATAAGTGTTTTCCGAATAGATAACTATTCCTGCTTCCCCGTATGTTTTTTACCTATGCGGCAAGATTGAAGGCGAATCAAGGAGTCGATATCTGTCAGTAAGTTTAAGCACACCGGATTAGTTTAGCAAAGTTTTTTGTGCGAGATTAATGCATATTTTTCGAAATGGTGTTCTCCGGTATGTTTGTCGCGTTTGTTATAATATTCCCTCTTCTACATTGCATTTATATTGAGAAACTGTTGGGCATCTCTGCTAATTCTAGCTGAAAACATTACTGATTTTTTTCTCTTTTCGGCTAATCAATCCAAAAATTAGTAAGTTTTTGGATAAAAACAAAATTTTTATCGTCGAATGAAACAATTAAACCATCGAATCATTTCTGTGACCCTGGAATAGATATTTAAGTTTCTTCGTCTAGAGAACAAAGACTTCTTTCCCCACCAAGTGCTTAACTGCTAACCCTTCACCAATGTAAATGAACTATATACGAAGGTCAAAAGTTGACCTACGCACGCTATGTTTACCTTTCTTTTTTATGTGTTATCGATACGATGAAGTGAAAGAACGCTTGACTGACATTTTTCTTCCATCTTATCTGCACGCACACACTGGGCCATAATTGCAGTCGACGTGATAACGGGAGCATGCATCTACGATCCGAAACGCTAACAATGTAGCCGGGAAAAGTCAAAATTAATCCGGCAATTATCAGCTTATCGAAGCGCCGATAAAAATTACGGAAATAGATATTGAAGGTATCGGAAAACTGGACTTTTTTGTGCCGTTAATTGGACTGAGATTGCACAAAAATGCTCAATGGGTTTGGAGACGCACCCTCTTGCCAGATCTCACGTTATAGGAATAGTGGCAAAATTGTCTTATATAATTCGAACGGTTTATTTGATAATCAAGTTTAATATGCCGATCGCACCATGTTATTCAGTAAAATAAGATAATAAATACTATCTCGGAGGTGCTTACTTTGATGTTTATTAGCGAATTCATTTCGCCCGTCCAGGCATATTTAGAGCTGTTAAAAATATGGTTTAGTCCAGTACCACATGTACAAATAAGAGGTCCCGTGTGCAGCTTCGTGGGTAAAATTGTTGTGATACGTCATTCTCTTCTTTAGGATGTCTAGAATCAGAATTTCGATGGTGTCAAGTTCAAAAATTGAACCGACGCCCAGAATTCAAGATGGCGTCCAAGATGGCCGCCGCCATGGTGAAAGTTTTAAATTTTGCGGATAGCGTCGAGTCAGATGTCGATTCCTATGTAAAATGACACGAGGAATCCGAATATCACATTTAAAAA